GATGGAAATGACAAATGCCCAGTCTTTGTTTGCCCTCGCTCTGTGTGTTATTTGTGTGCGTGTGACTGCTGATTTTGGTCAGAGGAGCCAGAATCACAGGGAGTGTTTCCAGTAGCCGGTCACATCGAGAGAAAAAAAGAAGAAAAAAACCTCCCTGCTTCTCTCTCTGTCTCTTTCATCTGTCTCTTTGTGCGCTCCTCTTCTCTTCACACACACACACATAAATAGCACAGTCGCACTTGCTTTGCAGGATTCAGGTATTTTTTTAAGCTGCAGGTCTCGTCTTCGACATGCTATAAATCTCTCCGGCAGTAATATTCATGAAACCTTTGAAACAACCAGCAAATTACCTGCTGTAAAAGCTGACTAGCACCCTTGCGCAGCGACTCGCCTCTCGCGGTACTATTTTTATTCAGCGAGTCTAGTTAAACCTCTAATTAAAGCTTTTATGTCACTGTATATTATTAAAAGTCGTAAACATTAGACAGACACAAGCAGCTGGGGCTTTGGAATGTGCGCGGGGGAGGTGATATTCAGATTGAGTTTAAGGTGTTAGATTAAAGTAATGGTTCTTAAACGATCAAAAAAACATTGGGAGCAAACCCGAGGCTGAAGTTTTCATTCGTTTTCCAAATATGACATTTAAGAGTGAATATGCCTGCAGTGTCTCTGGAACCTATTTGAGGTGATCTGGACCTTTTGACACGACTACCACTAAATTGATTGTGAAGTCTTTATAAATTCTCTTTCTGTGAGGCATTTGTTCTTGACCTATTGCCACATTTCATTGTTTGTCCCAGTATCCATGTCTTTAGTCCCCAGAGATGGTGGCACGTTTGTTTGATGATATTAATGTTATTAATAGCAGCGCGTGTGTTTGTGCGTTTTTATATTTCAAGTATGAGAAGCAGGAACAACAGAGGAGCTGTTGCCAATGAATATTCGTGCCGTAATTAACTCTTCTTGCCAGAAGGATTTCTGACGTTAGAGGAAACATATAAAAAAAAACAGCCCTCAGCTCTCGCATGTTGAGCAAGACTGCCAGGATGGTGATCAAACAGCTCAACAGCAGCAATCTGGGCAGGCAGGGCGGTAGGGAATTAGAGCTCTGATCTGTTTTTTTAATCACTGCTCTCCACATCCGACACCAGACAACTTTGCAACTCTTAAAATCTGTCATCTGGGGTTATGAAGTGGAAATCCCCCAAATATTTCCCCAAAAGTAATGACCGTGGCCGGGCAGAGAGGGCATGCCAAGACGTATATAGGATCCTGTTGAACCGGATGGTTTTCACAAATACCTTTTGTTGTTTTATCTTGGTGAGGTTCCAGAAAGCTTCGTCACAAAGGGAAACGCCTCGAATGCCATAAATCCCTCGGAGCTTTGAATACCTGAATGATAATGCTGTTTACTTCTCTCTAAGGAACTCTGTACTCGATACTGTGAGCACAACTCATGTTGGACAAAACAAACCACCAAGTACTAATAGAACAATGGAGAGATATCGGTGGGATTTACCACTTTCCATTATTTAATGAATTTTGCACGTATGAGCAGCATTTACAAAGCGTAGTAAAAGTAAAAGTAGTAAAAGATTGTCCAAATATGGCACCAAGCATTCAACAATCCCATTCTATATAAAACAACTATTTTTATTTCTTGATTCATTTTTTACACTAAATTAATCGTAGTAGACCATAAATGTGCGTCTTGGGATGTTCTAGTTCGTGGTGGAAAAATGTTCTCATTGTGCCCTCCAACAATTACCACAGCATGTTTCAAGACAACCACTGCGGTAGCAAGGCATCGTGGGGCTTTAAAGGCGCTTATCAATGTTATTCATTCCTTTTCCTGCCCACGCAGAGTTTGAAGTGACTGCTGTGTTGTTGTGCATGGTCTGCCTACTGTTTGCAGCACATACATCCACTGTGGGCACAGAAACACGCCGAATTCCTCCGCTGCAAAAAACAAAAACAAAACCTCTCCCAAACACAGCCACTCTCCGCCTCACCCCTCTCGTCTCTTTGTTCCCATCTTTACACTTCTCCCCTCCCCTCACCACGTCTTTATGCTGCCTCCTCGCACTCCCACAGACCTCACTGCGCCGAAGAGGTCCGATCGGAGCTGTTGCCTGGGCCTCTTTCACAGACCCCCGTTGACGGGCGCTGTGAATGTCCAGGCCTCATGTTTCGCTCTGCGCCCAAAACCTTTTGCTCCATCAATCATGGGAGAAGAAAAACATGTCAAAGCGAATACTTAGTGAGGTGATCTGTAAGATTACTTTAGTTTTATTTCAGAATAACTCTTTCTGCCACTGATGATGACGTTTTTTTCCCAAAATGAGTCGATTAGTTGTTTGGTCCGTGAAATGTCAGAAAATGGTGAAAAATGACATCAAATTTTGTTGTTCAGTCCACAGCTCAAAGGTTACTGTTACAGAGGAGAGAAGGCACCAGCAAACACATTTAAGAAGGAAAAATGACTCAAACCGATTCATCTATGATCAAAATAGTTGGCCATTCATTTGATAATCGAACACTAATTGATAAATCTGCAACTGTAGACATTTGTGATGATATAACAGAGATAGCAGATGCACACCTTTATGTGTTGCATGAATAGAAGTAACATTTCAGAGCACACAACTGCAGATATGTCATCTCTTCTTTTCCTTGTGCTGAAGTCAAAGATGTTTGATATAATGTGCCTTCAATGAAAACTAACTACATTAGTGAAGCTGTTCTTAACAAACCCACTCTCCAGTAGTATCACATTGAACCACTGGATAGAAAGACAGCTGGACTAATGGAATTTACAAAACTGCAGAAACATATCGGCTCATTGCTTTCTTTAAAAAGAGAGTGTGTGCACAGCTTTGGGATCATCGTAATGGATAGATTTAGAAGGTGATGGCGCTGAGTCATGTGCTTTGAGTTACAAAGGGGGAAAAAGAGCATTAATCCCTGGCCTGTAGTTCAGTGATGTGTCTAATATAAACATTGGGATTGGACCTGGATTAATTCTGCTTTGTGATTTGGCCTCCTTTAAATGGGAGTTGCAGCTGCAGATGTTTCCATATTCCAGATGCTACAGTTAAGTTGTAATTGCCTGTGCAGCCTCAGAATGAAATAGTGTCTGTTTTTATTACTTTACGATGTAGAACACTGCTGTCATAGTAAGTTTTTAGAAATGTACAGAAAATGGGGGGGGGGGGTGACGGGACGGGACTGTTCCCACAATTCTCTAAATCTACTTAAAAAAATATTCCTATGAAGCTTTAACTTAATAAACATAATAGAAATGCATTTGGAGAAGTACCATAAAATCATGGGAGAGCGGCTCCATTTTGTTTCCTTTTATTGAACGCAATACACTCCACTGTTACTGAAGAAAAACAACAGACCTGAGGGGTTTTATTCTCAGATATATGCAGTGGGTCCCGTGTGTGAATGTTTCGTGTTACTGTACTTCCAACACCTTTTATCAGTGCGGGGCAGGTGTGTAAGCCGCGTTTCCTCGGGCAAAACCATAGCTGCTTTGGCCCAAGATAGATAAAATAAAAAAATAAAAACTCTTGACATGGTGCAGGTGCAAATGCTGAAAAACAGTTACTTCTTTGGCAGTGAAGGTTGAGGCGGTATGTGACTCAGGAGAAGATGAGGGGATTTCACGCACAGCTAAGCTAGTTTGTTTATCGCTGCACTGATGGACGCTCATGGCAGACGTACAAACAGGTTCTCCTCATACACAGCCCGCGACTCCCCCACACGCAGGCAGATGCATGTACACCATTTAATGGCAGCTGCGGCGTGTCTCTAGCATGAATGTAACTTCCCTCCCAGGTTTCCACAGTTGCCTTCAAAAGGGCTCTTAACAGAATGAAGGGTACATCGAGATATCTCCAGCAAGTGGAGCATGGTGAATAATTCACAGCAAACTGACAACATGTTGCCACTTCTTAGAGTTGCCTCACATGCAAGGCTTCACTGCTGTGTATTTATATGATACTTATATGATATTTATATGATTTATACTTTCAGCCTGCGCTGAAAATGAAATAATGGAAAGAATGTCAAACTTTACATTTCTCGTGCTTTTCTCATACAGTGTGAATACACACAAGTTACCAAATTTAACCTGCTGCCTGTTTATGTTTATTTTCCCATTTTCCACTAGAGAATGAGCCTTTTTATTATTCCTCATAAATGAGTAATTCATCAGTTAATTGACAGACAGCTCAACAGAAAATGTCTCAGTTTTTTATTTTGTATAAATTCAATATATTTGGGTTTTGGATTGTTGCTCAAATAACAAGGAATTTAGAGACGTCTCCTTGGGTTCTCACTTATTTTCTGAAATAAATTATTCGTCGGTTGTCTTTTCTGAAGGAAAATAATGTCCTGATGAAGACAGGAGGGCGATTAATCAGAAAAGAAACAGCAGTTGAAGCCCTGATACCTTTACATTGTATTGTGCAGCTGCTGTCGTGCTATGAATTATGTTGTTTGTTTTTGATTGCAATCCGACGCTGACATTCTCGTGGTTGACCTCATAGCATCTTATATCCTCACACATCACCCTTTACGTTGCCTTGGTACTTAACCATCCCTCCATTTCATAAGACTTTGTCCACTGAGCTCCACCTCTCTGGACTAATCTCCCGCTGCACAAAGGTGATACTTTAGAATCCAGACTGAAAACACTGCTTTCTGTTCACAATGACAATGCTACCCCAATACAGACAGAGATCATACAGTATCTGTTTAAAAAGATGAACTAACCTCATCCTTGTTGTCATGTTAGCATTACTTTCTGTGTATGTGTGCGTGTACTTTTATATGCAATATCATTTGTTTTATTTCCCTACTGAGTTGTTCAGTGTACAGAGACTCTCTGGGGGATGGGCACTTAAAATAAACAGAAGATCATATGAAGAAATTAATTGACATTCTCTGTGCTTTATTCAGAATCCTCACTCGTGTCCTCCTCTTTCTTTCAGCCTGTCCGTCGGGCTTTTTCAAGCCGACTCAGAAAGACGAACCCTGCATGCAGTGTCCCATCAACAGCCGCACCACCAGCGAAGGCGCCATGAACTGCGTCTGCCGCAACGGATTCTACCGCACCGACTCAGATCCTCTCCAGATGCCGTGCACAAGTACGTAGTAGCGCTCAGACTCTTAAGTGTGAACTTAACTTGCACTTCGAAGAAAATAGAAATACAACCCACAAAGTACACGGACATGAATACGTACCCACAAAGTCTTTGAATTCAAATATGAAAATTCTTTTGGCACATACACATTTCACACCCGCAAGCAGAAGAGGCCCCGGAGATCAAAGGACAGTGGTAGTCTGTGTAACTCCAAACAGAGAAATCCTGTCAGAGATGTCCCTCACACGAACGCAACGCTGACGTGCCCATAGTGTGGCTGTCCACAGATCCGACCCGACACGCAGGGCTCGGCTGCCCCTCCTCAACATCACACAGCCCGCGCTCCCAGCCAGACCAGAGGTTACTGGGCCAGGGCGCGTTGTTCTGTGAGGGGGCAGCCTCGGAGAATGAGCCCGGCCGAGAATCTCTCTTGTCATGCCAATGAAGCTGTTTGAATTTGAATTTGAATTTGAGGCTGACACCGAAGTTCAGAGAGAGAGAGAGAGAGAGAGAGAGAGAGGCGGAAGGATAGACCAAAGCAAAAGTGAGTGGAGGGGGGGGGGGGTGAAGCATGAGGGAAAAGGAATGAAGGAGAAGCAATTTGAGAGGGATGGAAAGGGGATGTGTGTATGTGAGAAAGACAAAAGGATCAGTGCATAGAGTGTGGTCTTACTAAAACAAAACAGGGGTGAGTGAGAGAAAGAAAAAAAAAAAAAGCTCCTTTCAACATTTGGGTCGTGTTTTTCCCTCACTCTCCCTCTCTGCCTGTTGAAAGGGAGCAAGGAGGGAAAAGATTTGATGGTCTCCAACAAAGGAGATTTGCATAAGCCTGGCTCTGGGAGTCGAGCAGCTGTTGTGAATGAGAAAGCAGCAGCGTCACGTCACTCGTATTAAGCGCAGCAGGGCCCAGGCCTGATTAAAGCAAGGGAATGGGCCCATCAGAGCCCGCCAGCTCATGGGGGGCCAGCTCATCCCCCCATGAAGGAGATGCCAAGGAGGAGTTATGTTTCCATGTATGAGAGACACCAAGAAGGGCACTCCCAACGGGCCTCCTTTCCAGAGCCGGAGATCTGTTAATTGCTGCCAATTAAAGAGGAGGTTAACTAAGAAGTGATCGATTCAGATTTCGGATGTGGTGGGCGGAGTGGAGCTGTTTATCCCATTAGTCCTGGAGGCTACGACTTCCATAATTAGGCGCACATGGTCTGTAAAGGATAAACACTTCTCATTGTTTGTTTGTTGGGCCCGTCACTCAACATGCTGCACCATGTGGGAAGTTTCCACCCGGCAATGCCTACAGCCGCTCAGAAGGTCTCAGTGGGAGAAACACTAGGTTCCCCTCCGCTGCAGTAACTCTACACGACGCTCCATGAGAAGGCTGTCAGGAGTAGATGCTAAGAAAACAGAGTGACACCAGCGTGGAGAAAGAGAGTGTGAACGGGGCGTCCCGAGGGAAGCTCACACTTCTGTAAGAAGCCTTTTAGTGAGCGTGTGGAGTTTCTCTTTACCTGTGTAATTTGAGTAGAGGTGGCAATCATGCCCGCTCTGTCATTAAGTACGCAACACAGCATCCATCATAAAATCACAACAATGCTATGGAATGTAGTTGATGCTTCCTTTATATACACATTTAAAGCAGCTTTAATCTAAGTGTATAACTTAACAATAGATCACATGACTGCGGCTATGTGATAGGGCAGGGGTGTCAAACTCATTTTCACTCCGGGCCACATCAGCATCATTTAAGCACATTTCTGTTATTATAACATAAATCATTTTAATTTAGGGTTAAGAAACCCACATTACTCTATCAAAGATCAAACTTTTAAAGAAAATAACAAAGACAAATATCATCAAACACAAGTTATTACATGAACTTTGTTCAAAGCTATTTTTGTCACCTCTCTGCATCACTAATGTCCCTCCCTGCCATCGTCCCGTGCATGGCAGCTACATCCAAGAGCTCCTCACTGACAGTCAAGTCTGCCTTGAGCCTCTTACAAACATTGATAGATGATGTATCTCGTCTCTTCGGCTAGCTGTGTTGTTAGATTGCTGCTAGTTCCTGAACTCGGTCTGCGATGGTGTTTCTTCACAAACTGACATTTGTAAAAGTCTGTATCTGGTCGGAGCACACCTGCTCACATACCTTTAGCATGCACTGGGCTGTAGCTTTTGTAAATATATTCTGCTGTGATTGCAGTCTGCCTTTTAATTCTTGGACAATTTGATGTTTTTCTTGGAGGCTAAATTTAGCTCCGTGTTTGGTGTCAAAATGCCAACGTGAATTGTATCCTTCATCACCGACACGCATCATAACACAGAAGACAGACCCGTTTTTCTCCCTGAAGCACAAACATGTATCCGCTTTCCCATCTTAAATTACATCTTCTTCCCTCTGCATCAATTTTTCTCTTTGTGGACATTTTGGGATTATTTTTAATCTTAATATTTTTCAACTCAATCACTTGTTGGAAAACCTCTTTACGGGCTGTTCCCTCTCCTGTCCACCTGTTTTTTAAAAAAAAAGGTAATAACTAATTAACCATATTGTTACCAAGTGACTGTTAGGAGGACAAGTAATCAATGTCCAGCCACGGTGATAATACTTCACAACATGCTAGCTCATAATTTCAACTTTCTATCTCATAATTTCGACCATGGGGATATTTTTATTTTCAAGTCTAACTTTAAATTTTTTTTCCAAAATTAAAAAAAAACAAAAACCTTTTTTTTTTTTTGTTTTTTTTATTGTGCTGGTGGATTCGCGGGCCACATAAAATGACGTGGCGGGCCGGATTCGGCCCGCAGGCCTTGAGTTTGACACGTGTGTGATAGGGGGCCCCTTGTAGTGACGAATCCACAAGGGAATTATCAAATTGACCAAGGAGCTTACTTCCCAAAGTATCTGTGTACCGTTTGAATCACTCAAGAGCTAACTGCAGAACGTCTCTTGTGTCTTTCCAGCCGTCCCCTCAGCTCCACAGACCGTCATCTCCAGCGTGAACGAAACCTCCGTGATGCTGGAGTGGACGCCTCCCCGGGACTCGGGGGGCCGCGAGGATGTCGTCTTCAACATCATCTGCAAGAGCTGCGGCGGCGGCCGGGGAGGCTGCACCCGCTGTGGGGACAACGTTCAGTTTCTGCCCCGTCAGCTGGGCCTGATAGAACCCCGGGTCTACATCAGCGACCTGTTGGCCCACACGCAGTACACGTTTGAGGTGCAGGCTGTCAACGGGGTGTCAGACCAGAGCCCCTACTCCCCTCAGTACGCCTCAGTCAACATCACCACTAACCAGGCTGGTAAGTGGGCCCATCTGTCTTTTTCTACACTTTATGTTCCCCATGTGGTCTCCTCTTCTCCTCTCTCTCGTTTTTTTCCCATATCTATTTCTGTGTTGCTCCTCTGCCGCTGATGCCCCTCTTCATCTCACTCATTCCTCTCTGAGCACATAATGCACAGCGCATAGACCTCCGCTGAGTTGGCTTCTCTCCTCTCCTGCATGGTGATGTATGCAGATTGAGGGCTCTAAAATGGGAGGCAGAGTGCCGCTGATGATGTGACAGACAGAATGTGATGGCCTGCTGGTCTCAACAGAGTGACCTCATCACACAGGCTAGGTGCTGCCTCTCCTCCACTTCATCTGCTGTTCAGTGATTACTCCTCCATTTCCATCCACCTACTTGATTGTACAATAGTGCTACAGTGCATTAGGAGGATTAAAAACAAAAGCATAGTATATATAGGTATATGCAGGGTATGCGCTGCCTTGTAAAGTAAACACTACTTTAAAGAAGGTAGTGTTCCAGTTTGTTCCGAGTTATAATGAAAACCAGCTCCTTTTTAATCTGCAGGATCTTCAAGAAATACAACTCAAAATCTCCTTCGATATTTCTTCTACAACTTTCGGAGCTTTGCATTCTTTCCACTATGTGACCGCGGTCGAAGTCGGCCACATCTCTAATTATTTCACAGAGGCAGCAGCATTGATTTGCTCTTTAATTGTCTCTATGAAACGCATCATTTGGCGTGCCAAGCTTTTCTTCCCAAGCGCTGATGAGCGGGGGTGGGATGGGGGTGGGGGGCTTTATCTTTGCACTGGCTTTGCATCCCATTAGCGATGTACGTAAGTGCCTGTCATGTCGCATCATCCATTCCCCTCCACTGAGGGCAGACTGCTACGACTGAGCTACCTAAAGGAACTGTTGCTGTGGTTTCATTGCAGCGTACATGTTGGGTTTGGTTTTACTACACTCTCCCTCTCTCATTACTTTGGAATTGCCAGATGTCCAGATGCCTACATACAAGCCGTCAAATGGAAAGGGTATACAAGTTGGATGACAACATTTAAGAGGAGGTTTCTACACTTAAAATGACCCATTGTTGCAAACTTCAATGTTTACGGAAATGTGTGTGTGTAAGAGCTCCATAAAGCACTCGTTTACAATGCCGGAGCTCCAAGTCGCGCTAGAATGGAGGGCCTTTATTCAAACGGCGACCTCTTTTTATTGTCTGTTTTGATTTGAGTCACTGGTGTGGTGGGTTAATGAGGGCCTGTGAGTGCAGTTAAGCGTTGTAATGAGGCCCCTGCCCCGCTCTTTCTCGCTGGGCCACAATAAGTCTGCCACCCCAACCCTTTGGCTTCTCCTGCTTCCCCCTGCCGTGGGGTCCTGGCGGAAATTGGGGGGCTCTGCGCCCTCTCCACTGAAGTGCCCGTCACTTTGGATTAGGCAGTGAGGGCTCCCGTCAGAGGGAGCTGTGAAAAGAACTCAACTCTTGCCTGCACCCACTCCGCCGTCCCACCTTCCCCCCCCCATCACCCCGCGAAACCAGGCTCACCCCTGGGACACGGCATTGCAGTTTGGCGGGGCTGGGGTCACGGGGACCAGGAGCCCATAATTGCATCTGGTTTGTTAGGCTTGGAGGTTACATAAACATCATGTCACCACTAATTACCTCAGGCAGTTCTGTGCCTCGCTCTTACACTTAGAGTGAGTTAGATGAAGTAAAAAATACAAAGTAAAACAGAAAGTGTTTGAAATGCTGTATGTTGTGTTAATCAATCCCTCAGTAGGCTGTGGCCAGAGGCTGAAGCGCTCCATGAAAGCAACGAATAAACACGTGAATAGAAAGTAAGTCCCACATCTTATGTGGACGTCCGTCCTCAGCTATGACTCGTTGGCGTGGAGGGGGGGAGTGGAGGGGGGGAGTGCTGCGAGACGGGAGCAGAACTTCTCACTCGCCACCATACCCAATCAAGCACCCACCACACTCTATTACCCACAGGGCTTATCCTCCCACTCCGTAGGTGGCTGCCGACAGTTCCTCTGCGATAAAAGGACGTGATTGCCCTGGAAAGTGCGGCGCTTGATTACACACTGTAGTGCCACACAAAGGCAGATGCCGCGCTGAATGGCGCTCTAGCCTGTTTTATAAGCATATGACTAACTCCCCAAAACTTGTGCTGTGTTGATTATGTAGAAGCCTTGAAATGCCCCTCCAAGCCTTTTTTATATATATATATATATAATAATGAGTCACAAGTAAGCCTTTGGCTTTGAGCTGTCTATAAAATGTTTCTCTTTGCATGACATTTAATGAGCGGAGGGTGCTTTCTGTTAGGGACTGAGGGTGATAACCATAGGGGGGGTGTGTGTGTGTGTGTGTGTGTGTGTGTGTGTGTGTGTGTGTGTGTGTGTGTGTGTGT